GGCATAAAAATGTTGTTTGAACTCAGCATTAAACAGTACTCTCACTCTGTCTACGGTTTATTACAGGTGGGAGAGAGCTCCAACACATTTCTATTTAACTTGCATCCATTTTAATACTGGTCTGAATCAGCTGCAACACATTTAAATTAACTTCAAAAGCCCCTGACCCTCAACAAAGCTGTACTCTTCTTCATTGCAACACCATTAGCTTATCAATGTAACAGGTGTGCTCGGAAACTCAATCCAGACTTTTTAGTTAGGTATCAGCTTACAGGTTAACAATCAATCCCTATAACAATAGCAGGAAACTATCAGGTGTTATAGCCCCAAGAAACAAAATCCATATGACAGCTTTTATTATCTAAGGGTAATTAATAGTGTGTTATCCCACAGTCATCCCAAATACTGTATATTAACTGTTTAAAGTATCAAAGTGCTAAGTGGAAACAAGAAGAAAGAAAGGAAGTTACTTTAAATCGCTCCACTAAATTAATTGGCTTAACAATTAATCAGTCAAGCAGAGTTTAAGGTAAACGGATTCAGGCCAATCATTGCAGTTGTATAACAGTGGATAAGTAATGTTATATCAGCCCATTATTCATTAATGCAGATGCAATGAACCAAAGTGATTGGTGCCAGCATAAAAAGCTCATTTTAAACATGTACATCATTCCGTAAGATAATGATCACAAACTTAAGAGAAAACAAAGAGCTTGATAACAGAAGCACGCTAACATGCCAGTAAGGAATGATAAGAAACAACGATGTTGGGATTAGTAGAGTTGCAGGCAGGAGACTCTTCAGCTCTAATAGCAGGGCTGGCAGATCAACCGCTGCCGTCTTCAGACAGCAATGTGACAGTAACTGCTTCTAAATGGGACATAAAGCTGGATCAGCTAAGCAGCTTCATTATATTTATTAAACTGTAGCACATAAAAATGTTGAAGCACAGCTAAGATTGGTATAAAATTGAAATTACATTATAATCGTGTTGCATTTTGACTAAAAACACTTATGTTTTTGGTTTTTGTTGCAGGACAGCAAAGTTGCCTCACTTTGTTCCATCACCACAGGGTCGAGTCATCAGAAGCATTTTGCCTGTTTTTAATGGTTGACTGGAGAACCAAATAAAATCCAAGGTTCACTATTTAAGAACCGACCAGTTCCCATGCTAACCAGCTTGTGGCTATAAAACACTCAGCTCAACCAACCACACAGAAAAGCTTTAAGTGAGGAGGAAAATCTGTAAGGCTTTTCTCCTCTTCTTTTGCACAAAAACAGGAAAAGCCATTGTCCTTAATGGCATGCCAAATGGATTAGAAAAATAATTTTTTTTAAAAGTAACGTTTTTTTTTTTCTTTTTATTGTTTTCAGTTGATCCTCTACAGAGGTTATTTGGTGACCATTTTCACAGCATTGAAGTAGTCGTAGGTGAAATTCATTCAGGAGAAACGGCAGGGATGTCCGTCTTTATTTGGTCATCCATCATTTTATTCAAATGAATGTTAATGAAGTTGACAGGTTGGCGATCCAGACATGTAAATACACATGTGAATAGTTTGCTCTTACAGACTGAAACCGAATGCACGCTCCCTCATTTTGAGTCAACCTCATGCCATGTTAAAGCCCACAGTAAATAGAAAGCTGGAAATAGCACAGAGTGAGCTTTGGCGTTCCTCTCTCGCTCATTTGTGCTCAGTGATCTGTTCACATGGAGCCAAGGCTCACACGTACAGATCTGCTCTTGCTAAGGCAGCTTCCTTATACCCAAGGTACATTCAGTGTATGCATCATTGTGCAAATTTCTCTCTACTCTTCTTCTTCTTTTTAAGCTGGCATGTTAGCAGTAAGGGATCCAATTAGGTCTCCTTTTTTAGTGTTGAATACGCTTTTTTAAAATAACATTGCATTTTTCTTAGAATGACTATATCTATTATAATTTACAAAGGCTAATATTGAAATCTTCAAGTATTGAAATCCAAGCAGCAAGCTGCCTGTTTGAGATGGAAAACCCGGTAATGAATGCACAGAGGTGGGAGGCAGACAATGGCCGAACTAAAAGGCTGGTTTTGTGAAATGGAAATAGGAAGAAATATCGGAGCTTTTGAAAAGGCCAACCTGCAGGAGACACATGTTTGATGATCATTACTATCTAGCTGCTGCAGCACCGGAGAAGGATGTCTCATTGTTAAACACATCTTTTTTTCATTTTTTTTTTTTTATAAAGGGCAAGTATGATGGTTTTGAGATGGAAGATATTGAAATCTTTAGACCATAAAACATAAATCAATCAAAATTGGTCTTTTTGTGTATTTTAAAGCACATAAATGATTTCAAAATACTTTCCTGAAACAAAAAGAACCTTTGTATTTATATAAAACAAATATGATTACAAATAGTGTAAGCAGGGAGTCAAAACTAATGTTACTAATCAGCTGAAAGATTTTTCAGACAAGAAAATGCATGAGCTTATTTGAGCTTTTTGGCGCTTGAGTCTATACTGATTGTCAGATATTTCTGAATCATCTCATTGCTGTTTTGATATGATCCAGTCATGTGCTAAGTTTAAATAAATTCACTGAAACTGTTGAATTTGACTTGGAAGCCTGCTAGCACTTTCCAAGTGTCATTTAGAGAATGATGTCCATGCTTTAAATTACGTTGAAGTGCAGAGCAGAGCAGAGACGCATGCAGTGTAGAGGTAATAGAGAGGTGATTGCATGGCATAAAACGGTAAGAACAAGAAGGTCCACCTGCAAAGTAATTTATGACCATCTCCTTGGCCAATACCAGAGCGCAGATTATATCTTACAAATATATCTAACTAGCATGAACTTCAAGTCAGGACACAAGTGAAAACTAAAAGATGTAGCAAGGATAAAATGCACCTTTCAAAAATAATCGTCCACCTTCAAATTCTACTGGATTCTACAGCCAAAGTGTCAATGCAGAATTCATGAGACAACCAATCTGAGATAAATCTTTTGAAATACACAGATATTAACACTGCTAAGTTTGTCTTTCTTTTAGAAAATCTTTGATTGTGCTCGCATTTAAAATGACGATTTCAAGCTTAAAGATGTTTTGGAGATTTTACATCGACTACATTTTAGTTTAAGAAGAGAGAAAGGATTTTGAGATAGAAATCTGCTTCACTCTTCACTTTCAGCCCGTTACCACTTTTGCTGCTCTGGCTTCATTTATTAATGTGTCTCTTTGGCTTCTGCAGTGAGCCACACATAGTTAAAGTTTAATGATGAGCTCAGGTACTAACTTTGTAAATGTGGTTCAAGTGTTCACTTGAGAGAATAATGACCTACTGATGGTCTTTCAAATTTTTCTGAAGCTGTTTAGTCAGCTCATGTCGCTGTTGTGAGCTTTTTCTGGGTTTGCAAAGCAAAGTGAAAAGCATCATCACAAGATCACAAGGAACGATCTAATCCAATAGCATTGGGCAAACCTGAAACAAATTACACTAAACGGGAAATTTACAACCAAACATAAAAACAGTAATTATTGAATTATGAAATTAGGAATCATGACATTTATACACATTTACAGTTAAATAAATATTACATTTAAAATTAATTGCAATCCATTGAACCCTTTGTTTATTTCTTGGAACAGGATCTCAAGGGCCCCTCTCTTGTTTAAATATCATGCTGACAGGATGAATTCACATCTCTCTGAAGAGTTGGACGAGATTTCAAAGGTTCATCATAGAGAGAGTCAGGGTGGGTGAGTGGCGCCAGAAAATAAATCAAATACACCGGGTTAAAGCAGATGGTTCGTGTGCATCATGTTTGCATAATAAACAGGGTTAGGATGACCATGCAGCAGAGAGCCAGGGCGAACAGCATCCATCTGTTTCATGTCTATGTGTTAACCTCTGCTTTTACTACCCAGAACTGCTGAGTCAGACAGTTACTGACAATAAAGACTGTTTTTGGCAATAACAGCCTGTAATTCTCAGAAATCAGATCTGTGTAATAACTAAAAACTCCTTCCTTCACTGCGGTCGGTTAATAGCGTATGTTTAACGGTATCTAAGTACCAGTATCTTAAAAGTCTCAATAAATATCAATCAAGCTCTCATATATTTGATTAGTCTTGTATCTAATGTAAAATTAATCCAAAAGATAAATTCTCACAGAGCAAGATAATGTGTAAAGGTTTAGTAATTTAATTAGTAATTTAATCAGTTTACAATTTGGTTTCCTAATCACTAACGAAAACTGCATTTCAGTCAGCTATTAGCAACAAATGAAAAAACTAATACTGCCTAAAGGACAATGTTGACAGCTTGAAATAAACATTCAGAACAATATTTAATATGGTTAAAGGCATAACTTTTAATAAAAGGTTTTCTTTACCTTTTGCTGAAGTTTAAAAAAAGCTTAATTTGAGTAAGACCATTGACAATAAATCTGGGTTAACACTTCTAATGAAACTGAAGAGCAGCAGGACGTCGTCAAAATGGCTCTACCACTTCAGACTTGCAATCATTGATTTAACATTTCTGACAAATAACATATTAGCTGACTGAAAGCACAGAAGGAAAAAGTTCTGCCAAGGAAAATGTTTCAAGAAAAAGCTAAAAGAAAAGGAAAATAATGCATTGTTTTCCTGTAGTTCTAGAAGAAAGAATAACTTCTTTTTATTTCTTGCAGAGTGCAGTATGTACAGCAAACATATTTTCATGCTAAGTTAGGAAAGGAAAAGGTTAGATTAGAGGTGTCCGTATGCTCCACAGTCTTCAATAATAATCTTGTTGCAATCAGAGTGAAGCAATCAGCATCCAAAATAAAGAAGACAGAAATCATACATTTAAATGTTGATGTATTCCTAGAAATTTATGGCCCATTTCCGTTTTTCCACAGTAAAATCTAGTAGATTACAAAGTCAAATAAAACCTCTTTTGCCCTTTATTTTGAATCACAGCATTTTGGCTTTTTTCAATGATAGTTTGCAATGCAGAAAAAAAACTAACTGGTACCAACCTTTAGAGGCGGGACATTCAGTGGTTTATTTTCCTTGTCGAGCGAGATGAAGGTGAAGAAGGCTGAGACCGCACGATATTTCTCTATCTGCCTCTCCACCAGCGAATCGGCATCCACCAGCACTTCTATTTCCATAGACCTGTTGCTGACAAACGTGAGCCGGCCCGTCACCGTCAACACGCAACCTTGGAGAGAAAAGGAGAAGGGCGCTGAATAAATTGTTTACCAAGTTTTAGTCTTAAATACTAAAGTACATATAGCATTTCTCAAGGTGATTTAATTTTGCATCCCAAAACTGCTTTTGTTTCTCAGGTGTTCATTACTCGCTGCAGATACTTTATCTGATTTTATTTTTTAAAAAATACAATAAGCTGCAATGGACAAAAAATGAGGAGCAGCAACATCCATTAATTTAGGGAATTAAATCTTGAAATTATAAAAACATCAGAATGATCCAGAAACATTCTGAGCTTTAGCAAGTTAACACTTAATTTCCAATTTTATTCTTTTACTTGAGGTGGGAAGCCCAAATCCAACCAGAAAACACTCACAAACTATATTTTAGTGATACTGCATGGGATTCTGACAGCATAAGCAATAGCTTTGCTACATCAATAAATAAATACAATATTTACAGAGGTAGTCAAACACAAACCAAAGGTTGAAGAAAGTTGATGATGTTGCATCCATAGGTAAACTCAATGATGCAACAATGATGCAACATTCAGCGTGTAGAAAACATGATGGGTTGGTTGCAATGTAACATTGAGAAATGAGTGGATAACTTGTTGATTTCTGTTTTGATTCTGTTAGAAATCTGATGAATAATTTAGTCTAAATTAAAAACTTGAGCCCTTTCACAGAGGTTTGCAAGATTAGTTCATAGCTGGTTATAGTTAGTGGAGGCACTTTGACCAGGCTGCCAACTGGCCCATTCATCAGTTTAACGTAAGATCAGTTTAATGTAAGACATCCTTTTAAAAACGTTTATATACAGGACAATCAAATTTTTCTGAAGTTTGTCTTACGTTAAACTGATATGGGAACCAGTTTGTTCTGTATTTTCAGTAAAAAAAAATACACCGTTTTGAAGAGAAACTTCATATGGATAAGAGGCAGCTCACTTTAGACATGTTAACGTTTCTCATCAATCCAAACAGAAATCCCATCAACCATCGGCCTGAGTGACAGGTTGTGGCTCCTGCAGATAATCGGGTGTATTGTCATTCAGTATTGCAAAGATACGCCTTGCAACAGGGGGAAGATTTTTAGAGAAGCCTGACATTGTTCATTTAAAAAAAAAAAAAAGCAAGAGTGAGAAGAAAAATACTTCAGATAAAAAGCTGTTATGCATGACTGAGAGGATTAGGGGGAAATTTTTTTCAAAAATTCAGCAGCATGCCTGCAGAGAGGTGAGACGATGGGACATTTGGAGCAGGAGGAAACTTTACTGACAGCGAGACGTGTGAGACGGCCAGTCTTACAAGTGCAGAGAGTTTATTCATTCATCTGCTCACACAAATGTAACCTGTGCTGCTTTTCTCTCTGAAAAATGTGCTCTTTTCTCAGGTCACCACAGGGCAGTAGGAGAACCAGTCTACCACTATTACTGGTTCTATTCCTTTATTCTCTTTGATGTGCCTGCGTTGTATTATTACCACTGTTGCCATAGAGACAAGGAGAGAAGGTGTTATCTCTGCAGGCTGAGGAAGATCCTGGCTTAATATTGAAGCGCTAATAAAACAATAAAAAGCCCAAGTAATAAAAGAAACAATCTTTTCAACCAAAAACAATTTAGACGTGTTACTCAAGTGCAAAATGGAAAGAATGCTCTTCTTATGGAAAATGCTATTAATGTGGAAACACACAAGCTCGTGACTTAAATCAAAATATTGCACTTAAAACAATAACTATAATGTTTCTAGGTACCCCTGATCTTTTTCTATTTTTGGTGAAACAGTGGAAAGTGAAAAATTAAAAATAATAGAAAATTGGTGAAACAACAATTATTTAGTGAATCTATTTTTCTCGCCAGGCCATTTCCTTCCTGTGCAATTTTGCCCCCCCAAAAATGTGTGCTTCCACCACAGTCTGGGCTTTCTCCTCTTGACTCAGATTCTCTTCGGGTCAATTTTTGACCGAGTCGGTTGTGAACGATGACGGTGATTTTCTGCACTGTTATAGAATTGTTATCTGCTTGTAGTTTGAACAGCTAAAAAAAAAAAGATATTTTTTCGCTAACTTAATTTAAAACCGGACTGGTTCTGAGGACCGTGGATATATAAAAGATGATATATCAACTGTGACATCCGGATCAAAAACATATTTTCAAGATAAACTGTAAAAGGGTGATGTGGTACAATGGCTGTATATCAGGATGAGTAGCGACAAGTAGACGGGCTGATACACTGAAGCTATTTATCTTCCCCCTTGTCATCTGCCCCTTTGAGTGTTTTAAGATGTCACCACCAGGGCCGAGTCCAGTCTCATTGAGATAAATCGCCTCTGGCACAGACATAGACAGCTCAGCAGAGAGAAGTGAGATCTGCTCAACGGCATTATGACAAAAATGAGTCTTGATGATGGGTCTGTTTTTTTTTTTTAAGTCTTTAGCGATTAAGAATTGATTCATGCAGAAACATCCTGCATGTGTGCAGCTCTGAAGGTCGGCTCACGTTTTCGTCTAATGCAGCAAACCTGCGGTAGAAGCTTAAAAATTTATACATTGAGCTGAGCGTGCGAAACAAAATATTTGCCCTCTTTGGTGCAGTCTGAATTAGTAACATTTATGTTATGAACAAGCAAAAATGTTTTTCTCTAGAGTATTAAATTGGTTGAACTTCCACTACTTTTCTAGTGTTTGTCATGAAGAAAAGCATAAAACATCCAAACTGTGCAAGCATAAAAGCAAAATCATGTTTATTTAGGAAAATAAAACAAAAACATAATTTTAAGGTTTTAAGATGAAACACTCTGTCATCATCCTCATCATTGCTGTTTTTGTTCTCCCTCTCCTGCTTTATCCTTTCATCTGACATTCAGCTCTTGAGGTTTTGTGTATTTCTTCTCATTATTTGTACCTCTGGCTATTTTGTAATAATTGATCACAAAAAAGAGCAGTGACTATACACGGGACATCAATGGGTAGAATCAAACCACTCTTTCCGGCTTCTAAATAACAAATATTGTTTTTCTTTTTTCAATCTGACATTACAGTTGCTTTACGTTTTGTAGAGTTTGGTTTGGATATTGTGTGATACTGATGCTTTAGCTGGGAAACAGACAGGTGTTTTTGGGCTTTGTTTTATTAAGTTCTACTATTGCATTATTCCATGTATTATTGTTAATCTTAGAAACAGACACATCTATACTTTAATTCAAAATGGAAAAGAAATGCCCCAAAGAATGAAATAAAGAAATCAAAATTACATTTAATGACAAACCCTCTAAACCAACCAAAGTGAGACTTAGATAGACCACAGTTCGCTCTTCTTGGCTCACATCAGAGTTCGATTTCCCCAAACGAACGAGACTTTCTTGGCAAATGAACTAAAGTTTGATTAAAGCGGATTAAACAACCCTGAAACACTCACTACAGGGATTCTTTACAAAGTCCATCTTCTTGTTCCACTTCCAAAGCTGTTCAAAAAATGTGTTCATTCTCAACCGGCACGCTTAATTATCAAGATGACTGCCCAAAACAGTAGGAAGAAGAACTATGTGTTACTGGTCATTGTTATAAAAGGTTAAAATAAAATCTTCCCAAGCACTAATGCTTGAGCCCTGGGAAAATGTATAAAAGAACAAAACACAATATGAAAAGGAGAAACTCTGAGGAGATATAGTCGGTGACCTTTTGCGAATGTTTTCTTTTTGATTCGCAGTAGTGCCTCTCGCTCAAACTGTAATGTACCTGGAGACAAAGTCTGAGCAGCAGAGCCATTAGCTGGGCATTAGAGATGACCTCCAGGAAATACCTGCACCTTTTTTTTCCCAGTTGATTTCTGTCACTTGGACAATACGATGATTTTTTGTTTTGTTTCCAGCTGTAAGCACAAACAAAGCATGTCTGCCAGTAAGAGACTTCTGTGTTTTTTTTCCCTACTTGATCTATTAGCGAAGCTGATAACAAACATCAATCAGTCCAGGTCGGTGCAGGTTTTACTGGAAAAATTTTATCTGAGCTAAAGCCCAAAATAGCACAGCAGGTGCATGCTTACCATAGAGCCTATGAAGGTAAATCAGCGGATAGACATTGCTAAGTCAGGAATAACATCAAATATTTAAGTTTCTTTGCTGCTTGGGTATTTACTGATACCGAAGCCACCTTCATACCCTGTATTTGACCTCCTACATCTTAAGAATGATACTATTTCGTCAAAACCATCTACAAAAAATAAATACAAATGTGCGCATTGACATTCACATGCACATAGCAACACTGGCATAGATAGAAATAGAGGGCATACATGTGGATTTTAAACAATCTGTACCGATTAGATTAAATTTTTTTCATACTGTGTTTTAGATTTGTATGCAGTTCTTTGTGAAGTGAAAAGCAGGACAAAAAGCAGAGAACAAATTCTACAAATGGTGACGAAGTGATCCGATCCTGCTTGAAACCTCTAACTGCTTCAGCTTATTCCGCAGCCGCTTTCAAGTGTTTTCCACATCTAAGGCCCTACACACTGCTGCTTTTAAATACTTAGACCTTGATTGACAAAACCAACACAACAAGTGAATTATTCTGCTTGAATGAAGGAGATGTAGTTGAAAACACGTGTACTGTAAATGCAAAGCTGAGCTGGCACAGTCGTGCTGAGCTGTGGCATTTCCTTTCCACTTCATAATTCAACAATGGGGAGAGATGAAGCCAGTCTATTGTTAACATTTTATCCTGAGGGATCACAACATCTGAACATTAGGACTGGATGTCTAGACAAGGTTCTGTCTAAATTAAAAATGTTTTAAAAGAAACTGCCATGTGCTGCTTTTGAAATGGTTGTGTACCTTTATAAACATTTTGGGTCAGTGAAAAATCATTTATCTTCAAGTCTGAAAGCCAAAATACTATTTATTCTTTAATGTTTCTCCCATTAATTGTACTGGTTAGAAAGAAGTATAAGCAGCCATTATTATTGTTGACATACAACAATATGGTTGCCTTTTCTGACCAACTTAATTCAAACACAGGAAAACATTAAGATTTAAGTAGATCTGGTCATGCAAACTAGGTCATTGGTATAAAATCAACTGTCTATTTAATCTTTCTTCCATAAAAGCAATGATTCTCCAGATGGCATCATTTCAAACATCAGAGATGCTGCATATAAAAGCCACTATTTTCTTCAAAAATCATAGTGTTCAAGATAAAAGTGATTCCTGTATTTTTTGCAATTCCTCAAAAATACATTTGAGAAACTATCTGACTCACAGGAAAAATGCAAAAAGGCAAAGTGTCAAAATGACCAGCACCGTGTCAAACACTTAATGGAAAGTTGTATTTTGTCTCATTAAACTTCAATAGCAAAATTAGAATCTCTACCCATTCTATTAATCCAGTGTAATTGCCGAACTTGCTAAATTCAAATAGTGCAGATAATTTCACCACTACTACTTTAATAAATGAATGATATAAATCCAAGTGTGCATTCACCAGTCTACCCTTACCTTTTCTAATTTTGCGATGAAAGTTGATGGCATCCACAGAAGCAGTGACGATGTTTGTGTTGCAGTGCCGAGCGGCAACAATTCCAGCAACCTCGTCCATCAGCTTCATGGCTACACCTGTATCAAACACAAGCACAAAGAAGCTTACAGATGATTGTTAGATGTGCACTTCATTACACTTAGAAAACAGCCTTACTAATTTCTTCATTGATATAATTAGTACAGCTACATGTTTGACCAGATAAAAAGCTAATTTAGTAATCAAACTGCATGAAATTCTAAGAAATAAAAGACACAAATAGCCATCTTGACATCAACCGCTGCTCAGGTAGGCTGTGGCTTTTAAACAACTCTTAAACGGTGCTAAGGAGCCTAAAGTATGCCAAGAAAACATCACCCATACCAGCAGCAGCCTGAGCTGTGAATACTAAGTTGGATGAATAAATGCTCTCCACCTGAATGTCAAAGCTAAAATCTACCCATTTTCCTTTGACCTCTGACATCAACATGGCATTTTCATCCACACAATTGTAGCCTGCTGGATATTTTCTTTTTTTTTTTGCACCATTTTTTGTAAACCTAAAAGAGGGATTGTGAGGTTTAATATGACAGAAAATCAAAAGTTTCTGAAATACTCTGAGCGATGCATGTGGCTGCTGCTTTACGCCTTCAAAGAGCACCTGGCCAGCCTAATTCATTTTTCACCACTTAAGTCCATTTCTCAGATGGACTGAAGTGGAAACCCAAATACAATGGCACTGGTTAACTTATAGGACATTTAACAGGACTTCATAATGCTGTGTGAGTGGCAGAGTACTCCAGACATCTCAAAGAACCTATTGAGTCTTCCTGTAAAGTCTAGGAAGTTCAATAAATATCAACTTTTGTTTATAATAAAAGGTTTATCATCAGTTTTTCTCTAATTTTTGATTGCTTATCATTCTTGCATTAATGTTTTAGCTAACTCTTTCTCCTCAAGAATGGTACTAGATGGAACCACAATTTTGGCACAGATATGAACATAATTTATTGGCAAATGTTAGTCTATTTCTAACATTTAATATTGTTCTGACAAGTAAAAACCAGCATTTATTCTAATATTTATTTGAATCTTTTCATGCATTTTAGAAAAAGGGAGCAAAAAGGTGGTGACAATGTGCTATGTGTTTAGGCAACACAAAATTATTCCTTGGCCATTCCAACTGTATTAACAGAGATCATATCTGTGCATCTCTAAATTTCAGGCTTAAATATTTTAGTCTGAATGACTGAGCTGGAAACCAGAGTTAAAGCTTAACAATAATTACTTCAGAACATGGAAGCAGAGGAGTTCACACGTCCACACCCATACCACACACTCAGCCCTGGCAGCTGGTGACATGTGTAAAGGAAATAGTTGTTTGATGATTTCTCACAGAAAGTGGGACACGTTGTATGGAGTGGGTGGGATGGAAATGAGGAAAAAACAAGAGGATAACATCTGCTTCTCAGAGACAGTCTGTGAGCATGTGTGACGTGTCTGTGAATGTGTGTTCATTTACAGACAGTCAGACCGTTCGCCACACACTTCGGCTGCCCCGACTGTTCCTTCTGAACCGCATTATGTATCTTTTATATTCCAGAAAATCAATAAGGATGCTTGCAGAAGACTGATTCTGCTCCCTGAGGTATATACCATCTGCACTGTGTGGCTCTATTTATGACAGCCAAGTGTGTGGGAGCATAAACAAAATGTGCTGCTTTGCGTTAGCTATGAAACTGGGTCCACTGAGCTGATTAAGATTTAAAAACGCAATTAATTTGACATTCAGCATCAGTATTATATTTAAACCAATTAACAGCATTTTTAAAGTATGTCCATTAGGAGTTATACTCTAGTTATGTATTCAAATTTATGACCAGATATTTCAAATTAGAAAATGAACCAACTTGTCAACCAAAAATTATCACTTCACAGTTCAAATTGGTGGCAAATTCCCCCATTCTGTATGCAACAAAACATCATGTATACCTCCCTGAGTCTGTTGAGAAGATATTTTTTTAACTTTTCCACAGTAATGTTTAGAAAATTGATGAGATCTCATTTAGGATGGAAAATATCCCCTGGAGTGATGCAAACCCTAGAGTGGTCATGTTTGCCCATGTAACATTTCAAGGTGGTGGTTAGTGACCTCAACAAAATGATGACAGCAAATAAATGTACTATGTTACAAGGGATTACAAATTAGCATTGGTTTGAAAAACCCTGACTTTAACCAATTTGGCTGAATTGTTGGATTATTTGGACCAACTGAAAAGTATACATGATTAAAGATATTTTTTCATCTAATATAAAGTCCCTTGAGAGTAAGGGGTTTGAATTGGTGCTATGTAACTCAAATAAATGCAACTGAATTGAAAAAATGGTGCAGCATCAAGAATTATTGACTTAATGTACAGTCATCACTATTTACATTCTTGCTTAATGCACCAAATTAGTCTACTATGTTTGACCCTACAAATCCATATTATAACCTGCTAACAATAGAAACATATGACCAAAATGCTGGAACAAAGTCCATGACAATGCTGTTCTGAATGACCGTAGATGCTTGTCTTTATTAATTTCTACCGCCGGCTTAAGCATTAATGCAACTCCGGCAAAAAACATTCTCTTTGTACAGTCAGAGTAGAAGGTTGAAGTAATCCTCAATGTGAGACTGCAAACGAGGACAGTCTAGGCCAAGACAGCCCTGGGCCTGACGTTACACATTCACTGGATGACATGGCACTCATGACTCTCTCTTTGCCGTAGGGTGGGAACACAAAAAGGCGGAGGGAAGGGGTAGCGGTGGTGTGTGTGAAGAGGGAAGACAGCTCACTCTCAATGGGGAGAAAAGGGGCAATTAGCAACCAAGTCCCCAGTGGAGCCCAGTTCGCCACAAGGCAGAATACCTATGTGATTAGATGCCTTGTGACAATTTCCCAGAACCTGAGAGCGGTGCTGCCCACTGGCTATGATGAAAGAAGTCTTCAAAGCAGCTCTTCCTGCCCTTCAACTATGTATTCTGACTTCAAGCTTCTTAATTCACTACTTTCTAAGATATATAACACCCTACACTACAAGGAATACCTTCCACAAACTGCGACTAACTTCAGTTCCTTTATATATTCTCTCATCACTATGTTTCTCCTCTCTTTCTGCTGTTTTTGGTTCTCTGTCAATCTTTATTGATGATTTTTCATCTCTTCCCGTCACGCTCATTCCCTCCCCAGCAAGTCCTTTAATCACGGACGGTATCAAACAGCTCAAACTGCCTCCTAATGAGCTGTTTCTATGGAAACCGCTCCTGTTAACGGTATTGCAATGCACCCAATCCCACCCACATTTCCTTCGAAACTCCTATAGGCTGTGTTTGCTCCAACATATCTCACTTCTATATAAACATTAGTAAACAACAGGCAGCTTATTAACAAATCTGCATTTGGCTTTACGTTGCTGCAAATCACATTAAGCTCATGATGACTTTTCTTATTGACTGTAAACCCCATGAAAAGCAGCGTCTTCCATATTTATTGGCTCCAAAGGTAAAAAGTTTAAAAGGCCATGTAAAGAATCCCTCTTTTTGCTGCAGTAACATAAACTCACATTGAAAAACACAGGAATTGCCAACAATTACTACGAGTACATAGTAAAAGTAAAAGTTGTGTAGGATTCCTGTGTAGTGTCCTTCAGTCTTATCCTTCTCTGTTCTATTGGTAAAAAGTGGGATTTGTCACTTATTAACTAAATGAAGAATTTGCTAAAGGCTCAATGTCAAATTTAAGCATATTGTTAACTGTGCATATCTTTCATGATAAAGGTCATGTGATGCTGCAGGCCCGTACTCCAAAAGTTAAAACTGGTATAGTTAAAGATATCTGGTTGCTTTTGGTGTTGTCCAAGTCGATGCTTTACAATTTCCAAAAATCTGCATTGATCTATTAGGTACTTTTCAAATTCCCAATTTTATCTCCTCTAAAAATCTTTCAACTTCCCATCCATATTAAAAATGATCCAAGATACTGCAATAAAATATACATTATTCTGAGTGGCCTTAAATTATTACTTTCTGGTAGCAACTTGCACTTTGGACTTAGATTTTTTTTTCTTTTTTTTTTTTTGCTGCCTCCAGTCTGACCAATCAAGATGGTGCAATGAGCTATGATTGGTGGCTGCAAGAAAAAAAGATTCTAATTGCCTGCTGAGCATGTTTCCGTGGAGGGGGGAAAAAACTTTAACACTGGAGCTGAACAAATCTGTTTCACTGCCTTCTGAGGCTGAACACGTTGTTGATCAGCAAAAAGGTTTTTTATTTAGTAACTGCCTGTAAAACCTAGTGTCAACATAAAATACAGTTATTTTATTAAGTCTACCTTGGTAAATAAAATAATTCATTTGAATTATTTTAAATAATTCAAATGAATCCATTCAGTGGTTTAAACTATTTGCATTAAGAGTCCCAATTAATATTGGCTAAAATGTTTGAGCAGATGTCTTGGTGTGACTAATATCTATGTCAATGCCCTCAGGAGTTTTATCTCCAGCTAAACCCAACATGGTCGCAGAAAATGGGCTCTAGTCACTGTGTTTTGTTAAACTTAAACTAACTGGTTTCTTTGTACATGCGCATGCGTGTGTGCATGAGTTTTTTTGTGTTTCTTTTTAAGATAAAAAGAATTAACAGTTTATTTTTTTTATTTAAAACAGTTACATCAACCTTGTTAAATAAGCCCATCATTACATTTTTAGACTTGCTGAAACAGCTCGGTGTACAGGATGATGTTGTCAGGGGAAGATTTGTTCACATCCACACTCAGGACCCAGGCTTCCTTGCTGCATATGCCTATCGGCTACGGATATGTTAAATCAATTTGATGAAATTAAGGTGGGCGGTTTTCTCTTTTATTGATTCTATGTCAAACATTCAGCACAAGTAAACAGAATCTCTCTAGCTGGTTTAAACATGGTTTGCTGGGACTTTAGATAATTTAATTAAAGCTTGTCTAAGCTGACAAGCCCTAAAAAAGTACAATGTACTTGAAATCAGTCAATCTGTCTGAAATTTGCATCACACATTACAGACATAAAGGAACAGAATAGTTACTTCTGTTTTATTCCCTAATCTAGAATGCAAACGGATGGGTTGGTACAGAGGTTCTCTTTCATTGCATTGTGCACAGTAGATAGCTTGTTTTCCTTTTGCAGAGGCAAATTGGAAAGCAGGCTTTCTGTTTTTCTGCAGCTGTCATGACAACATGATTTGTAAACTCAATAATGATGCCATTTGTGGGTTTTGTCCTTCCACTAGGCGTAACTCACCCTTTATAGGTAAATTTACCAAATTACTACAGTATCTTCAATCAACCACTGAAGATTGTTGAATAGAAGACAATCCTGATTGCATTGTCTTACAAACAGAATAAAATTGAAATGCATGTGATTGAAATGCTAATTATTCTGTCTCCAAAATTGGATTGAATAGACTATATAGTCATATGTATAAATTGTACCTTTTTATTTATTTTTAAATAAGTTGCAACAAGAACTTATACGCTATTATATAAAGTATAAAATCATTATGAAATGACATCACACGCATGATTTCTTTATTAGAAGTAGCCAGTGTTTTATGGAAGTCATCTAATTATGTTGCCATACATAATACCACTGGTTCTGCTCCATTTTTTTCTGTTTAATTGGAATAGATTCTTTTTGTTTTCAAATCTCGTTAGATTACTTCCACCTCAGGTAGTGAAATGCTTAAAAACCCCCTGATTAAAAACCAGAGCAGAGAACAGATGTTAGAACATCAAGTAGCACATGCTCTGTGTTCAGAAGTTTAGCATCGCTCTCTTCATCAAATTCCAAAATAAAATATCTACATTTTATCTTTTACCATCCTAAGAACTGGAAACTTTACTTCTGTGCTAAATATGCCTGTAAAACTCTACAATACACAATCCAGCGGGTGATGAATTGTAGTTAGTTGCTTTAGCACACATGTAGCAATCAGCTGCTGTGTCCATGGAAACAGGTGGCATGCTTGCTAATGACACGAAGGGAGGAAGGAGAAAGAAGATAACGAGCAAAGGTAAAGACAAAAGAAAAGGAGAGCAAGACTTCTGATCTTGCGTTTATTTGGAATATTTCAAGACACATCTGAGGTTTCATTTAAGAAAAAAATGTCAAAGTCCTTGAACTCTCAATGTTCTTTTGAGTTTTACAAACTGTGTTAGGGCTACATGTAAGCTAAGGCCAAATTCTAATTTCCAGTTACAAAAAAAACTTTCATTCAGTCTGTTTTTGTCTTGTATATAGTTTTACAAAGGCCTGATAAGATGTAAAACTGAAGCAAAAGAGCAAAAACTCATGAGCCGTGTTTTCAAAGAAGTTCTGATCTTTCAGATATAACAGTGCTTGTGTGACTCTGTAAATATTCTCTAATATGTAGGGAATATCAGCTATCCAAACAACTTCAGAGGAAATAAATTGATCAATAATAGTAATTATTCTGAAAAACCTTTCTTGAGTTTCTCACAACTGCATTCATAAAGTAAGTTGGAAAGGTTTCTTATAATTTCATAATTAATATTTATGGGGGGAAAAAATGGACAATCCAACAATTTAGAAGAGGAAATATAATCTATTAATCGCTCTACAATTATTAATAAAGTGAACTACATAATTGCAAGTATATCCAATCTAATACACACCAAAAGTTGTACTTTTATGCTAGCTTTTTTCAATAATAAGTGAACTGATTAAAATTCTGGATTTTTTTTTTTTTTTACACACATTTATTTGGACGTGTTGTAGAATTGTGTATCTGGAGCATCACAACTCTAAGAAGCCATGTACTCTGACCATCAGAACCATTGCTGAGGAACATGCTGTTGAAGATTCTCATTTATCCAAGACATGCCAATCCAAAGTGCTTAAGTATGAGGTAGCTGGGCTTCTTTTGTTTCTTGAAGACTTTTTGCATCTCATCCAAGTTGCTTCTTTAGTCCTTCAAGAGACGAGGAAAGTCCTTTTGGCACTCATATTACGAATTTCTAAGAAATTTACAAGAGGAATCTTGCAGACGTGACCCAATGAGAGTATTACTTATTTTTATCTTAAATAATGCAAATGTTTGAGCTGGTGACGTGAATTTTTCAGAATAACATCAGCCACATCTTAACATAAGCAATGTTCGGCCAAAAGTTGTTGTAATAAGCAAAGTGTTCTCTGGAAGAATGTTTTGTTTAGTGGTTGTAAAACATGGACACATTGTATAACTATACCTGAGATCACCACAAAAGCAGATTTTTGAAAATAGAATATAAAACGTAGCTTTTAATTATAGGACATGTCTGTATCTCACCCTATCTCAAATCAACTTAAGGCCAAATAAGTTTTTTTTTTCCTTTATGTCAGGGTTTTATTTTACATTAGTGGATTGCAGCAACAAGCTGTGTTCAGTGACAATAAACTTGATGTGCTCCTGAGCCTGTGCAGCGATTTCCACTAACAGAATCATGTCTATTTTTAATGCAGCGCTGCCTCAGGGCCTGGAGATCACAACCATTTCACATTTGTCTTCAGCCTTGTTCTTTCCATCCAGAGACCATTTCAGATCACAGGACACATTTTATTATATTATGTACCATACATGACTGTCTAATCTATTATGCATTTTGTTTTTGAGTCATTTTTGAAACACAATCACAATTTAAAACCTTGTAGGAGGAAGTTTATTTTGGATAATCAACGTTTCAGCTGTTTTCTTTTTCCTAAAATGGGGAAAAGGTGAAGGTTGCTTAATTAGAAAAAAAAAATCTTCCTAAATAATCACTATCAAACACAAACAACTGCGAAACAAAAGATAACACACTATGACAGTTGGATTACCATGTGATGGTGACCATGACATAACTGTCGAACCACTGGCTGTCTAAGCTGAGGATACAGTACGCTCTCAGAGGCGAGGGATGGCAGACATGCTACGAGAGGAAATGAGAGAGAGAGAGCACCCTGACTGCCTGACCTGACTCGGTTATGTAAACAGAATATGTGTAGCGAAAGCAGCAGCAAGCAAACAACAGGGTCCATTGCCTAATGAGCAATGGCATGAAAGAGTCAACCGAGTGCGCGTGTGTGTGTGCGCGTGTTTTAAATGACCTGCATGCTTTTACCATATTTGATTTTAATTGGACACATTTACTAGCGAGCCCTCCAAATTAGAAAGGCAATCATGAATCTAGGTTTATCTTTCTGTCCATGATCCTTCTTCTTTCCATCCTGTCTCTCCTATTCTGTCTAGTGCTCAGTTCCTCTTGTTCTTAGTCAACATTTTTCTTCTGTTCATCCTCTTGACTGGGCTCATGGCCTCCCAACATAACTTACCTCAATAGAAATGGCATAAACATCCAGTCATAATCAATATACTTCAGCTAATAGATATTCTTTGTGTTGGAAAATACATGTTTTTGGATTTGCTACAAATGCATCCTAGAAGGTTTCTGTTTTATAATTACTAGAAGTCCGACTGATGGCTACAGAAAGTGACAACAACAAATCTGGATATGTAATTATGTTCTTATTTTACGCTGTCTTATCTTAGAGAAGAAGATACAAAGGGAAAGAGGGAACATACAGAGTACCCATAACGTCACAAGAAAACCCCTTTTAAAAAAATCTGATCCATCTGAATATTACAAGCTGAAAATGAAGTTCTCTGCAGTTTATTTAGACATTTTATCCAACAAACTTGAAGCACTGAAAAGTGCAAACTATGCAATATAATTTCTTGTTATAAACACCTTATTATCTTCCTACTGCAACACACTCCTGTCCTACTTTTCTTCACTGTTAATTTATTTTCATCCATCCGTGTTTCAGCTGTTCTCATAATGACTGAGTTAACAGTGAACTACAGCTGCTCAAGCAGTTACTTAAGTTGCACAGACAGTGAATCACGCTCAACAATAATTGTTTACAGTTAAACTAGATAAAACCTAACTTCATTTTTAATTTTTAATCATTAAAATCTCCTGGGAAAATGTATGCAGTAAAAGTTGTTTATTTCCTTTAAAGCACCTCTATGCAGTCTAAAACTGTACAAATATAGCCAAAATAAGTCCATGTACAACATTAATTTAGATATTTCATTTCACTTTGCTTTTCTTCTCTCCTTTTCATCACCTTTCAATTGAATAATTTAGCTGTTTATCAAGAATTAATCTAAACCCATTCAAAATATTGTGGGGAAAGAGTCGCTTTTGTTTCAAGTAGACAAGATTTGTAAACATTACATGTAAAATCTCACTGAATATATTTAGGTTTGTCACATACATGTTATCTGTTTTGGGGAACAATTTTAAGTCTAACACCAAAGCAGATTTCAAAATCGACAAAAATAGACACTTTCAAAATAACATTTTTACAGTCCACTGATTCCTAACTGTATTCAAAGATACCAGAGAGCATCATGATGGACATTCCTCGATTTTACTTGGTTTGCATCATCTCTCAGTTTCCTCACAGCAGACAGAACCTCCAACCTGACCTGAAAGTACTGTTTTTTGTTCTGGCACACTGTTGGTTTTATGCAAGACACACTACTCAGTCAGTATTTGCAAAAAGCAGAGAAAAGTTATAGCCAAATTACTGAGGTTTTAATTTTGACATAACTTATTAATATTTTATTTCTTAATCTGCCCTATATGAACTACAATTCATACTTGTATATCTTTTATTGTGCAAGAAAACATTCTGTAGTTTAGGTTGCTCTTTCATCAAAATTTTGTTCAAGAATTTATTTCTATTGTCTATTGAGTGTCTCTTTACGTTGTAAAGTAAAGCTGACTTTTTATCTCAGCAAAATATTATTCAGAACAAACTGTCCTGGTAAAAGACATAAAAAAGACATAAACTCACCACCATAAACAAAGCCATCTAGCGTGCAGTCTGAAGGCCCCACCAAATGGATCAGGCTGGACTGGCTGAAGCCGACTGTGTGCCTTTCTGCCATGTGGACACAAAAACATGCAAACAAAATCTTCTCACAAACTAAATTCTGGAAAAATAGAAAAGGTAAATTTTCCCAAAACAACTAAACCAAATTCAAGACATAAATGGAAAGGCATGCCTGATTTCATTCTCAACATACATGTTGATGTTGTTCACTTACCCTTTGCTGCCTCCTCTATGGTTTAGCAAAAATTACAGGAGTTGGATAAAAGTTCAATATTTTAAATTGCAGCACAAGAATAAGTCTATAAAAACACATTTAATGTAATTTGTGTTTTACACATATAGAAGGTAAAACTGTGGCACAACCCTTTAACATTTTGTTTTCTTCACAGTTTGATTTCTCTTTCTTTTGCCATTGTTTTCTTTAGTAATATGATGCAATAGGAGTACTAAGATGCAATTCTTACTACTCATAATAACAATTCCCATGCCAGGACTCAGTGCCACATATTTTCTCAGTTGCAGGTATTTCACATTACAGATGTAGTATGTCTGAATGAAACTTCCTGGTCTGGATGTCATTACAACTGCAGTAATCTGGGAAAGAGAACGTAATGGAAACACAAACTACATGGCGCTGAACTCTCTATTTTGTTCTTCACGCAATTATAACCACTGATCAAAATTGCTGTATGAACTGCACAGCAAAAAAGAATTTGAATATTGTTTCCAGATTGTACCATGATAAACAGGTCATTCTCCTACACATCAAGTTCTTGCTTTTCCACAAACGAGTTCCCACTGTTCTCACTATTTTGTGATGATTTTAAAACACTAAAATTATTAATCTTGCCAGTAATCGACAAAGGTCAGGCTTCAGGAAGGAATGAAAGAAGAAAGAACAGAAAACATTTAGACAATAGGGTTAGGGACAAAATTGTAAGTGTGATTCCATTCTCTTCTATTTACACTTATTCAGAACTTAAAAAGTCAAATGAAATTCCAGACTTCCCCAGAATGTAAGAAAACGTATTTATTGACATAAACAGGTAGAAACAGCTGCAGCGTACCTGAGTTTGGTCGAGGCGGCATCACCTCCTCAACCCTCGCTTTGGTTTCCATTCTCTCAATTTTCTGTGCTTCGTAGCGCTTTCTGCCTTCTTCTTCCTTCTCTGCACTAGCGTACTGCAACACAGAAGATATACGGTAAAAACATATGTATGCTCTGATTTATTCACTTTACTGGAGTTAAGATATTTATTTCTCTCATTCTGGGATCAACACAACCCCAGAATGTAAGCCCAGTACAAAAGCTCTAAACTAACCAAGACAAGATTTAACATACCTCAATAGGAGGCACCTCCATGATCTTGTCAACATTTTGCAGAGAACAGGGGACGTACCACAGCGCTGCCTTGTTGGCCAGCTTTTTTGCACCTGCAACAAGAAAGAACAGAGTGAATTCTTGTCCAGTTATGTCAGCAGGGCAGCTTCTAGCTATTTCTGGCAGTCAAGACATTCTGACACGTTTTTTCTATTATAGGAACAATGGAGCAAAATCCACATTCTTCACAAAAAGCAACGGCCAATTTAGTTTTCAGCCGTTCTTTTGCTACAGTTTATAGATCCGGCTTTTGCTGCAAACAAAGAAGACAAAGAGAACAACAAAGATTCAGAGACAATTGTTCACGTCCATTCAGAGCAGAATCGATCATTTAGACTAAGTTTGGTGACCACAAGGTTCTGCATAATTTATATACCGTGAATCCCACAAGTGCAGAACACATTAAACACCATGACATTCCACACAATAAATGTTCCCAACAAATACTCATGTGGTTTACACTGAGGCCAAATAAAGGCCCTCGAGCTTGAATGCAGCAGTTCCAGTTCTATGTCTGTGCCTAACTTTAGGACGAGAAATTCACTGAAATCACGTATCATCGCAATCAGGTGGAGAGGTTGTTATAGCGAATTCCATTCGTCCCACACTTTGTCACTTAATTTACAAATAGAGAGAAAGGGTCTATTTTAAGGTGCCGGAATTATGACATACATGTGAAGACACGAAATAAGAGGAAATCACCTCCTTAACTTGTGGCCAAGTAGCTGATTTTCATTATGAACTATGGAGCTTATATTTAATAAGTACTTTTGTGAATGTACAAACAAATGCATCCGCAACATAACCCATCTTAGCCCCAACACTTAAGGCATTTTAATGAAAACGGTACTCATAACAATCATAGCCAAGTTATTACTGGAGTGAACTGCTTCTTGAAACAGTATAACAGACCAATAGGTGTAGAAGCTAATGAACAAGCAACTAGATTCATCAGGGCAAATAACAATTAGAGTCTTTTATTTTGCATTATAGAGAGCTCATATCAATTCAGCTGCAAACATGCCTCACAGCTGGACTCTCGAGACTGAGAAGATTGCAGGTTAATGTCACAATTAATTTAAGGATATTGGTTTGGAAAGCTATCCAACTCACACAGTGGATTACAGAAATAAGAATCTGATCAGAAATCAGCTTTTCCGATAGTTATGTCTTCATTTATGGATGAAATCTCAGAGGTTCATCCAAGCTAGAGCTGCACAATATATTGTAAGTACAATTCCAAGTAAGTAAAATTTGATGGGTTATGATTTCCAGGTTTTCTCTGCATTTGGACAAATCATGTAGATAGATGGATGCCAGGAAGGTGACATGGTGGAATCATTGTGTACTGGTAATATATTTTGCAGCCCTAGCTTTTAAAACATTTAACTGAATGAAAACTAGAAGAAGAGGTGTAGAACCACCACCCAGTGTGGCTTTAACATTTGACGAAAGACACTTGGGAACAGAGTACCCTGCAGGTCACTGCTTATGTTGTACGATGAAGTTAAAACTGAGCAGGCAGCTGCGCCTCGTTGCCATGCCCACCCACTCCTTCTCCCATTGGCTCAAACCCTTGCCAACAACCAGGACGTTGCCCACAGGAGTGAGAGAGGCATATTTACATAACCTCGACTCGACCCAGGACTGAGCGGCTCCGGTCTAGTGTTATCTCCTGCTGCAACTTTTATGTGAATTGTGCTCGCAAACAACAGAGGAAGGCGAGGAGTGAATAGGAAGACAGAAGGGAGAATCTCTGGAACGAAGCATTCCCAGAGTGACTGATGACCTTTTCGGCCCAGAGTGGAACCAGGGGGCTGGCTCTGAATGCTAAATCCCTCTGCAGCGCATGAAGACAATGTTGATGTTTGAGCATGGCTTTGCCTTGACCTCCTCTTTTATCTTTCACCATATCCCCAATAAAATAGCAAAACCTCCTCCCTGTTATGCTTGGGGGATTATTTATTGCATTAGATGATAAGGAATGTTAGATCTTATGGGCTCATGGAAAAACTGCCCCTGGAAACGATATATTGTGTTGTTTTTGAGAAAATAACTCCAGTATGGGTTAGTTTTGATTTTATGTGTGATAGCATGGAATTTTAATTAATATACTCATAAGAGATGGCAGAACAGGCAGCTGGTTCACTTATTTAGGTGTACTAAATAAATTATAGATCTGATTTTGGCTGCATTCCTTTCAGGAACAGAAGTCTCACAAATCTGCTCGCTGAAATTTCCACTGACTGAGTGCGTTTGGTTTTGAAATTGACCTTAGTCACAGCTAGCCTTAGATTTAAGTCCATGAACAAAAGAGAAAAAAAAATCCCTAAGTAATGTACTTATTTCTTAATTATTATGAAAACACACATATCTCTTTTAAAGAGACAAATTTGAATTTCGAAGCATAGTTTCTCGAGAGGTTATCAATATGTTAGCTGGCAGGGCTAATGTCAGAAAAGTTTGCTACAATTTAAAAGCAATTCCAGTTTGAAGTCTAGACAACAGCTAATACCACTTCTGTTTCACATATATTTTAACCCCCGTCACAATTGCATTACTTGCTTGTTTCAGTGTACAGCACTGAGAACCAAGATGAGGACCATTTCAAAGATAGCAGACATGAAAAGTCAACTCAGAGAAGAACCAAGAACAAGAATGAGAAGACAGATAGATCCAAGCTCCCACAGAAGAAATTCCAAACACAAGGCAAAACACCAAAGACTAAACAGAGAGGACATTTAAAGGGCCGGTGCTTAAGTGGAGGAAGACTCCCTCAGGCATGGATTATCCCATATTCAATCCCCTTTAATCCAAGTTTAAGTCATCAATCATGGCATCCTACTTTTCCTGAAAAATACCTAAAAGCATGTTTCTCTTCTCAAACCCATTGATCAGACTTGCGACCTGACCATCTTTGATCTCTAGTCTTGCTCCTCTTGCCCTCCTCTGTTTCTTTCCCCTCACAGGGTTTTTACTGCCATTTTGTTTCCCTCCCCCTCCCCTTTGTCTCCTACCCTCTGCTCTTAGTTCTTCCACAATGGAGTAAAAAAATTTATTTTTGTCCTCCACCCTGGACAATGTGTTCCAGGATTGGATTGAGCACAGAGAGGATCATTCCTGCCGCTCAGTCCCGGTGATCAAAACCACAGATTTTTCCATTGCTCTGTGCCAAGGCTCCTACTTTACTTTTAACTTTACTATGTTCTCCCCATGAGATGTTACAGCCTGATAGGAAGAGATTCATTATGTGGGCAGGAAAAATTTAATGGCAGTGCTTTTCTTGTGAATTTCCAAAGCTCAATTTAAACATGACAGTATACTTCAGGCTCTCTGAATACTTTTAGATGTTTAAAAGAGGAATGAAAAAGAACACTTTTGTCAGCACTTAATGTCTCGAACTAAATTTACATTGACTGCGGGACAAAACAGCTCTACAGCTGATGAACTCCAGAGCAGTTCATCCTAACACTAGCTCCACTGCAGTTCCTGTTGCAAATCTCAAATATGCGCCAAGATTTGTTTTCTATGTTCAAGGGATTTGCCCATTTTTGTCTTGCGCATAATTTTCTTCGAATATGATTGTAAGATAAAGAAAATATTAGCTTCACAATCAAAATCGGGCATATTCTGTGCACTCCCGCGCCAAAGCTGTCTAAAGATCTCCTCCATCTTTCAGAGCTCTGGGGGAGAGGGTGAAACATTGTGTGTTGTTTTACTCATTAAAAGAAATATTTAAAATATATATATTTTAATAGAAGGCACTAATATTCTGTGAGATGCTTTTTTGTAGCTTTCAACCAGTCTCTGACATTGGACTTGAGGAAAGTTTGCTCCACTCCTGACTTTCGCCTGTGAGATTCTAGAGAAAATTCTCACAGGAACAGCTTGTCAGTATCAGGATCTAGACTTTTACTTTGACTTGACCCCTGACTTTCCAGAACACAAAAACCCTCTGATACAGCTGAACTGATGGTGCATTCTGTGTTGATGAGCTGGTCATGTCCTGCTGTAGCAAAGTATCCACAAATCATGACCCTTTCACCTCCATTATTCACAGCTCATATCAGGTTAATTTCCTGCAATCCTGAAACATACTCTCTGTTCTGTGTCCAAATCCTTCAAATTTAGACTAATCTATCCAAAGACTGTCATTCCAGACATCCTGGTCTTTGTTAATGTTGTCCCAGGAAATGTTAGTAAAATCTTCATGCATTCTTAGCGAGTGGAGGTTTACGTTTTCCACATATGACTACATTTAGGGTTGTTAGAGACTTCTTTTAGCACCTGGCAGCCTGCTTTCCGGGTGAATTTGCTTGAACAACCAGACCTGGGCTTGTTGGAAGTTGTTCTGAATATCCTCCACTTGTAGACTATTTTCCACAGACTTGAATGGATGATTTCAAATCCTTTTGAGACCTTTTTAAATCCCAGGGCATATAATCTTCTTTCTGAAGGCTTCAGAAAGCTCTTTTTATCTAGTTCAAGTGAACACTTTTTTAGTGTTCACTCTCACTTCAAATAGTCAGGAGTACAACAAACAAAATGTCTGAGGTTTGAACAGAGTATACCAATGATAAAACACTGAGTAATGATGTTCTAACCATGTGCTACTGATGTGATAGATCTAGGTGTAATTTTAGCCATTTTACATTGAGATGAATGGGGAATAACTGAGTTCTCACAAGAAACTGCACTTAATCTATTACAAAAATAGATTAATGTCCTCATCTTTTTCAGAGGATGATATAATAATCTGAAAGGTCATATAAAATGCTAGTAATCTGTTACTAGCATTTTGACCAAAGTCTTTTGTCTTTCAAACCTTAGTGTCAATTTTACATTAAATGGACTCATTTGAGTACATTACGATTTAGCCGTGGTTGTGTTACAAGAACAAGCGCTGTCACACTGGCAGGCTACTAAGTCTCAACCCACAATGCATTTCTCTCAGTGTGTATTGAGGGGGCATAATCTGGTTATATGTTTATGTAAACCTGTGCTTAAAGGTGCATGCACACACAAAGCCCAAATGCCTCTATTCATAGAGACA